ATCCCGTAACGAAATCCATCGTGACTTCCTCCCACTTCCACCTCGGAATCGGTAGTGGTTGCAGGAGGCCGATCGGACTCTGATGTTCGACTTTGACTTGCTGACAGGTAAGACACCTCCTGACGAACTCGGCGACGTCCTTCTTCATACCTCGCCACCAGAATGACCCTTTCAGGTCGTGATACATCTTCGTGCTCCCGGGATGAGCTAGATAGGGTGCGGTATGGGCCTCTGATAAAATCTCTTTCCGCAACGCCTCGACTTTCGGGACCACGATCCTGCCTCTGAACTCTAAGGCACCATCGGCACCTAATTTGAAACCATCGACGCCTCCGGCGCAAACCTTGGCCTCCATGACACGAACAAACTCGTCAGAAGCCTGCTCTCGCCGGATTCTCTCTCTCAGCATCGGCTGAAGCTGCATAGCACTGACACTGGCACTGGTACTTCCTGAAACGACTATGGGAAGTGCATCAATCGCCTGAAGCTGCATCCAGGCAAACTCCTGAATCAACGGACTCTGCTGAGTAATGACGTATGTCAAATCACCCCTCACCTTTCGGCTTAGGGCATCTGCAATGACGTTCGCTTTTCCCGGATGATACAGAATAGAGCAGTCGTAATCTTTGACAAGTTCGAGCCAACGGCGTTGTCTCATGTTGAGCTCTTTCTGCGTGAAGATGTACTGCAGGCTCTTATGATCTGTGAAAATCTCGCAACGCCCGCCGTAAAGATAATGTCTCCAGATCTTGAGAGCATGAACGACTGCTACTAATTCCAAGTCGTGCGTCGGATAGTTTTGCTCATGCGGCTTAAGCTGACGTGAAGCATACGCGACCACCTGGCCGTCCTGCATAAGGACACATCCCAAGCCCTGTCTCGAAGCATCGCTGAAGATAGTGAAACTCCGAGAAGGATCGGGAATAGTCAACACCGGTTCTGAAGTTAATCTCCTCTTGAGCTCCTGAAAGCTCGCCTCACATCGATCAGTCCACTCGAACTTCACAGACTTCCTCGTCAGCTGGGATAGAGGGAGGGCGATCTTGGAAAAGCCCTCGATGAACCTGCGATAATAACCAGCTAGACCGAGAAAACTGCGAACCTCGGATGGACTCCTCAGTGTCGACCAGTTCTGAACTGCTGAGACCTTGGAAGGATCCACCTCGATACCTGCCTGAGTAATCACATGACCCAGAAAGGATACTCGCTGGAGCCAGAATTCGCATTTAGAGAATTTTGCAAACAACTTTTCTCGTCTGAGGGTTTCGAGAACCGCCCTCAGATGTTCCTCGTGCTCCTTCTGGCTCTTCGAGTAAATAAGAATATCGTCAATAAAGACAATAACGAACTGATCAAGGTAGGGATGGAAAATACGGTTCATGAGGTCCATGAAAACAGCTCGAGCATTGCTGAGACCGAAGGGCATGACGACAAACTCGTAATGGCCGTAACGAGTCCTGAAAGCGGTTTTAGCGATATCTGACTCCTTAATCTTCAGCTGGTGGTAGCCTGATCGTAAATCAATATTTGAGAACACACAGGCTCCCCTCAACTGATCAAATAAGTCGTCGATCCTGGGAAGCGGGTACTTGTTCTTGATCGTCAACCGGTTAAGATCCCGGTAGTCGATACACATGCGCATGGATCCGTCCTTCTTCTTAACAAAGAGAACGGGTGCTCCCCACGGTGACACGCTCGGTCGGATGAAACCGAGTCGTAACAGCTCCTGAATCTGTGCCTTAAGCTCCTGCAACTCTTTAGGCGCCATACGATACTGGGCTTTGGATACTGGACCGGCCCCTAGAATGAGATCGATAGAGAACTCCACCTGCCGGTTAGGTGGTCCTCCTGGAAGCTCGTCTGGGAACACGTCCACAAACTCGCGAACGATTGGAACATCATGAGGTGATCGCGCTTTCTGAGAATCGTCGACAAGGCTCACCAGATAACCCTGGAAGTTGCCTCGTCGCAGTAGCTTAGTGGCTTTCGCCATCGAAACAACATGAGGCAAAGAACGATTTCTGGAGCCGAAGAAAATAATCGAATCGTCTCCCGGAAGATAAAGCGTAATCTCCCGGTCGTGGCATCTGATATCCACATGATAAAAAGATAGCCAATCCATTCCGAGAATAAGATCAAAGTCTCTCATCTCGAGAACAAATGCGTCGGTAGACAATACTCGGCCACCGATGGAAAGGCTAAGATCTGAAGCTTTAGCTGAAGTCACTATCTTTCGTCCTGAGGCCAAACTTACCTCGGAAGTAGCGTGAACTCCGATGGCGTCAAGACATCGTCGTGCAATGAAAGTATGTGTCGCTCCAGTATCGAATAAAGCAAACACAGGAACATTATTAAGAATCACCATTCCTGACATGGTACATGGCTGCTGCTCGGCCTCAGCCTGATTGACGGCGTAAACTCGGGCCTGCTGCCTGCCCCTCTGCTACTGCTGCTGAGGCTGCCTCTGTGCCTGCTGACGGGGCTGCTGCTGCTGTGGTGGCTGCGGAGGCTGCTGGGGCTGCTGCTGAAGTCTCCTTGGACAGCGATTCGCAAAGTGTCCAGGCTCGTGGCAGTAGTAGCAGATGTCCTGACCCATGTGGCACTCTCCCCGATGAAGTCGTCTGCAGGTCGGGCACGGTGGAATCGGCTGCTGTCTCTGTCGGTCCTCCGGTCAGTCTGTGCACCCTTCCCCTTCCTCTTCTTCTCCTTTGCCGGCTGAGGGCCTGGTAGAGCTGGTGGAGCTACGAATGGCTGAACTGGGGCAGATGGCTGAGCACGATCACGAACTGCCTCCCTTTTGATGCTAGCGTTCACCTCCTGGGCAATAGAAACTGCACAAGCGTAGGTCTGAGTCCCATGTCCCACGATGTTGTGACGGACTGCTGGGTAAAGCCCGTCGATGAACCGCTGCGCTCTCTGAGCCTCCGTGCGAACTAGGTCTGGTACAAAAGCTGCAAGTCTAGTGAACTCTCGCTCGTACTCATCAACCGTACGAGTGCCCTGCTGGAGCGCTAAGAACTGACGCTCCTTCTCTGTCCGATAGTAGGATGGGTAGTACTTTTCGCGGACTAGCTCATTGAGCATGTCCCACGTACATCCCACCTTTTCACCGGGACGCATGCTCCAGTAGGCATTCCACCAGAGCCTAGCATCACCAGTGAGCTGAAGCTGGGCGCAAACTACGCGATATCTATCGGGGCAGTCCATGACCTCAAAGTTAAACTCTAACCCCTGAATCCATTCATCTACAATGCGGGGATCTCCCTGCCCTGAGAACTTTTCAGCATGATAGTCGTGGAACTGAGCAACTACCGTAGCCTGAGTAGGAGCCTGATGATCGGGTTCCCTACGTGGCGGCATCTGAACATTGAGAAAGTTGAACATTACTGAATACGTGATAACATTCTGACTGATTACTAAGGCACACAAATCTCTTGACGAGTCGCCAAAAGTGGCCAATAATTACTGACGTGATTCCTGAAAAACTCTAGAGTCATATCGAAAGATACTAAAGTCTAGAGTCATTTCTGAATGTCCTGAATTCTAGAGTCATGTCCGAACTCTAAAGTCTGAACCTGATTCGAGCATCTTAACTAAAGTCCTAATCCTTAATTCTGAGCATAGACAAAGTAATATGTTTATAACTGAAAACATAAATCAACACTTACCTGTCGTCGGCGGGGCGTGAGCATGACGGTTCAGGTTTTCCTAAAAATTACTGACTGAAAATTTTTTCAGAGACGCAGAAACGTGCTCTGATACCAATTGTAACACCCCACCTTATCGTTAAATCAGAGTGCCAAAATTTCGCAAAGTTATTTAAAAATAAAACCTTTCACTTTGCGAAAACTGATTTGGGGTGCTACCGTAAAACGTGACTTAATTTGGAAAACCGTTATTTTAATTTTTAATAAAATCATACTATTACTGAAAGAGTAAAATTTTCCAAAAGTCCATCAAAATATAAGTTCATCAAAAACTGATATCAGCAGAAACGTAAATCGTCAAAATGTATATACAATCAAAACATGAAAGTCCTAAAGCCTTCGTCTGCTCACGCTCCCTGCCCGACTGACCTGAAAAACATGATAAAAGTGGGAAATGAGCACTATGGCACTGTGCTCCGTGGAAACTCATACTAATGTAAACATTGAAAATAATAACAACATCATGATATCAGTATATACATAACCTCAACATGAAACCGGTAATAACATGAACATGAATCTGAAATCATCACGCAAACATGACCCTGACCGTTTCCTCATCTGCCGGCAAAAACTAATGCCGGACACCATGTGCACACTCTAGTGGGCAGACTAGGGCCACTAGAACCCAGAATGGACCGGCGACCATT